ATACTCATTCCACATCAGTGTTAGAAGGCACACATAAGCAGTAGTACATACATTGCCAGTTGTGTCTGAAGTGTCCATTTACAGTGTGTATACGGCGGTATTTTAACACTGGCTGCACAGGAGATAGATTTCTTACTCAACTGTCAAAATAAGTAGAAAGCAAGCACCAGTTTGATTTGGCAGGGGAGTAACACAGAATCTGTGTGATGGGAGACCTATTTTTGAACTAGAACTACTATCTTCAATTACATTTTTACTTTCAAAATTAAATTCAGATATGAAGGTTACATTGGAGTAGCTCTTAAATTTTCAATCAGAAAACCCTGAAATTGATGGATTTTTTCATGTATTTCTGTCTCATATTTTGTGACTTTGTATCCGGTCATGTTCCTTTCATGAGAAATTTATAAATTACATGTTGATGGCAGGTATGTAACCATATTTGAAGGGTCATGTTTTAGCTTTTTTTTTTTAGGAAAAGCATTAATGGACTCCTCCACCTTCCCTGTTTCCTGAAACACACAGCATCTTACCTTTGAGCTAGTTGATTTTGTATCAATTCACATGTAAATCAGCCATCAGACTCAAAAACTGCTGTGGAGAAAGGAGGATTTGCAGATGAGCATGTCTTCAAGCAGAATGCCCACAAATACCTCATTTCCACAGCTAGCTGGTCTAAGAGTTACTTAAAATACAAACTAAAATTAGCCTCTTTATATTTGTTGTAGAGACAGGTACTTGGGAGAAATGTTGATTTTTTTTGTTTACTACACACTCCTGCACAGGGCACAACTGCTATTGACAGCAATGTAGAAGCAGAAATAAGGGTACACTGAATTAGATGTTAAATCAATATTGGATAAACTAATGCAGAAGTTAGAAGCAGGTGTCTGCTACAACATAGATCCTCAAAATTACACAGGGTTTTAAATTCCTATGAAATTGAAGGGAATTTCTGAAGTCTGTACATACCCTTGAATCAGGATCTGAATCCCTGTGGTTTTCTTCCCATCTATCCAGTCATACATTCACTGAACTGAATTCAGGACAGTTTACTAGCAGCAACCACATATTTGAGTCTTTGCATACTTGGATCTTATTCTCCATTTTTTTTTTTTCTAAAGTTACAATCAATGCTTTCTTTTGTAATGACCTTTTGTCAAATCTCACGAGTCACCGTCATTCAGACCTCTACCACAAAGTGATAGATGCAGCTGGTCAGTCTCCATTACCTGGCAACTCATGGTCTGAATGTAATAAAAAGGGATAGCTTTCTCAAGCATTTCTGCAGGATTTGTGTCTCCTTTGTGTCACACTTCCTGAAACAGTTGATTTATATTTGAAGATTGTTTACAGGCTAAGGGCACAGAAATAATCTATTTTGCAGCTGATCTCTTCATGTTACATTGGTAAATATATCGCTCAATATTTAAATTACCAAACTACACTTCTTTTTGTGGACATAGTTGATATGTCACTGCTATTTACACAGAACAAGATTTACTTGAGTCTACCTTATATCTGGCAACGTTAGGCTATCTTTAGCTGCAATACCTATCAGAAGTACAATCATGATAAAGTGAAAGGAGCCTCTAAATTGGCATTTTTGAGTATCACAAAAAAATCCAACATCTAGGATTGAGTCCCTAAGCTCCTTCTGAAATGCTTGAAGAGAGCTGCATACCTGAGAAAATGTTTACAAGCTGCTGAGTGAGGATGCTCCTAGAAACAAGGGAAAGAGGAAATGCTAAGCCTGGGGTATTTCTGAAATTCCATCTTCTCTGGAAATGAGATAATGGAGGCTAGGCTGTAGATAGATTTCTGTCTTCCCTGGGGCTTGAAACCTGAAGGTACGTAGCTAGAGATATTAATTTACAGAATAAATTGGAGTTGCTTCTTTCTTTCAAAATGCAGTTACTGATGTTTACAGCTTTTGAACAGTAAATGTGAGACCTAGATTTAATATATCGTCTGATCTTGATTTAATATATCCTCAGCCTTATAAGTATTCCAAGTTGTATCTTCTGGCACTAAATGCTCTGCAAGGCTTGGGCTGTTGCCAGTGTTCTTAAAGTATTTTTACCAGGCAGCACAGAATAAAAGTCTAGCAGGCTAAGAAAGAAGACTAGAAGAGAGGAAGTGAAAAGAACCTAAATATCAAGTTCTCTTACAAGTGATCTTGTCTGTGTGCCAGCGGAACAGGGAGTCTTGGGGATCAGAGGCCAGGATTCCCCAGATCCAGTTGAGGTTTAGAGGGGTGTCAGTTTCACCTGACAGGGTGAAAAGCGCCACTCAACAACTAAGGAATTGTCCTGTGAGTAGCTGTTTTGATGCGAATGCCTAATTAAAAAATAATATTGTGGCACATCTTGTCATATAGAGAGCCAGATGCTCAAATAAAAATCATAGGTGACGCCTATTTAATTTAGATAACTCTTAAAAGTTAGACATCCGTGCTTGTTCTCTTCTGGTTGTTTTGGTGTTTTTTTATTGCATCTGGCCTTTGTTCTGTTCAAGTATCTAGTTGTCAGCTATTTTAAAGTAGGGACAAAAATATAACCTTAATTTGGGATCATGGTCTTTGTCTTAATTTTCAATATTAAAAAATTTATATTGGCTAAAATAATTAAACATTTGAGAGACTGTCAAAATAGATGTGATTGATTTCTTCTATTTCACATTCTTTTTCTTGGCAATTTTTATATGTGGGTGTTTTCATTTATAAACCAACATATTCTACAATTTAAAGAATGTATCATTGTGCTCCAATTTCTCCTTGATGCTAGGAGAGAGCTTAACTTTTCAACAATGTTTATACCATTCTTTTTGGTATTCTGAAGTTGCATCTTCTTTCTTCTTTTTTTTTTTTCTTCCTTCAACACAGAGGAACTGAACACCCCATTGAAATCCTCTAGTTTGACAATAACTCTGTTTGATTTTTCTCTTTATCTCCATTATTTTCAGTACATATTCTGGAAACTTATGAATTGGATTTAGGGAATTTGTGATTTCTTAACTGCTTATCTTTATTTTAGGAATGATTTGTAAGTGGACAACTTACATGAGTCTGTATGCTCTCTTTTGAAAAGCAGGGGAAAATCCTGAAATAGATTGGACTTATATTAATTAGAGCAGGAAGAATGTGAAATCTAGAAGATTTTGTTTTCAAATTTGCTTAAGTATCAAGCAATACAGACAGACACCATCCTGGCAATTGAGATCTCAATGTCGGTTACTTAAGCTGCTTAGATGATTGTTGTATGATTGTTTATATTCAGAGGTGCATAAAGAGCCTGCAGCTTTTTCCATTATATGGATATGTGAAGATGTTCCTGTGAAGTCAGTCTGGTTATGGGTAACATCATCTATTTGCATGCATGCAGTGTTACACTATGACAGGCAGTGTCTTAGGACCTTTCTTGCTGAAAGTTGTAAGGAAATCTTTAACCCACATTAGTTTTGATGGTGGACTCTGCTACTCCAGAGATTGCATAAGTGGTCTGTTTCAGTGGAATACACAAAAAACATTTGGAAAGAGGACTGAGACCTATGCAGCTTGATAGTTGAAATAGTCCATTAGTGACATTTGAGAGAGACATTAATGATTGTCTTTTACCACCCCCACTTCTTTTCCAGATTCTGGATTTGCTACCATGTAGTGCATTGTAAGAGAGGACTTACATAATTCTTTTAAGATCAGAGAAACCTAGGGTATTGAAATGTAACATGCTGAGAGGAAATGATGAAATCTGTGTACCTCATGCAGCATCAAACAATATGTGATGTTCTGAAAGTGCAGCTGGATTTATCCTTTGTGATGTGACAGCAAATACGGAGGAAAAGTGCTACAAAAATCACCAAAACCACCTGAAATATACCTGCCTCTGGAAATACAAGGAAGATCTCAGGTAATGCTTTCTGGAGCTAGAAGTTAGACTAAAAAGATGGGGCAGATCAACATTCCCAGGGCAATTATATACAGCATTGAAGCACAAGAAGAGTTAGTAGACTCCATTATCCAACTAACCACAGAATAATAAATATGATTTGAAGATTAGGCAGTGTGGCAAAACCTGTTCCTGTGTCCAGTGATACAGCTGAATGAGTCAATATTTGTGATGATTTTTCTTTCAGCAAAATTAGTGTATTTTACTACTCTTCAATGAAAGCCAGAATAGGAATCATCTTAAACAAAGCTATACTATAATTAAATTAGAACAAAAGGGCTATTTTATCAACATTATGCTTTGTCACGAAAGAAAGCAGTCTTGAATCACAGGTGGCATGCTCCCAACTATATCGAACCAAGAGATCTTGACAGCAGAACAATGTTGTTTATGAAAACACAAAGCCAAGGGAGGTGTGATTAATTATGCCTGTTCTTTGAAGATGTCAGAATTGATTAGCAGATAAATGGCTGAATGATTCACCTCCTGCAGGTCAAAGTGATTGCACAAAGCTGAAATTAACATACTTAATACAGGGGTTGCCTCAGCAGTTATCCCACTGCAGAAGAAAGCATGGGAAGATGATATCATCTACTAGCAACCCCTCTGGCCTGGCTCATGCTAGCCCTTGATTTCACAGAATGTCAGAGTACAAGAAGCATTATGCCACTAACTCTTCATTCAAAAAAATACAGGTATTTTTTAAATGTCAAGAAAAAATGTATTTTTGGTGACTCATTTTACATCATTGATAAATAGGAAGTGCTGCTTGTGAAAAAGAAAATATGGAAAAAGCTATATTTAAATTAACGAAGCAACAAGATATTTGGGAAGTTTAATTCATATATGTATCTGGTAACTAAAGTTTATGGAAAGATCAAACATTGTATGAACCTTCAAGAAAACCCTATTTCAAACAATTTCTTTAAATATTATTAATATAGAACATAACTTCTAGCTTATGGCATAAGCCATGGTATAGAAAGCATAACTGGAAAAATACTATAGTTATTTCTAGCTATTTCCACTCACTTTTTTTTTTCTATCTACAGAAATGAATGTGGGAATTTTTCTAATTTCCCTGATATTCCCTGCCCTACTCACACATAATACACTTCAATACTCTACCATGTACATGATGCCTTGCCTCCTGAGGAAGCTGTGAAAAAAATGCAACTTGGTAAAATACTGAAATACTTTGGTGTTGAACACCTTAAGAAAGTACAGGATGGCAGGTAATAATTCTATATTGAGTTCAGTGTTTAATATGTAAAATATATGACTGTTTATTTTGCAGTGAAGATTTAAAGAAACAACAAGCACGTTCTCATTGAGATTAGATTAGCCTCTTGCTACCCATGGAATGCCTCTTACAGCTGCAGGCCTGCTTTGGGCACCAGCTGGGAATGTGTTTGAATGAGGAACGGGATAAAAAAGGGAATATAGTAATAATGTCAAGGAAAGCAGAACTCCGATATTTCCAAATTTTTACTTAGTTGCAATAGTTGCTTAGCAGCGCTCTTGAATGGCTAGAATAACATCTGCTATTTTAGCTGTGTGTAAAATTTAGGAGTTCCAATCTCAGAACAATTTAGTACAGTGTTTTCAAAATAAGATAGAAAGTGGGGGGGTGGGGTGGGGGTGAGGGTGGGAGGGTTGGGGGGGTGGAATTATGAAAAGGAAATAGAATTAAAACATTTAAAAGAAAAGAATTTCAAATGAGGCAAAATGTGTTTAAAATTTACTCCTGATTATAAACCAGATTAAATAATCCTTATAGACTGTGGTAACTTTGTTATGAACTGTGGTGGTGTAAATTGTTTTTATCATAGATTCAATATCAAACAAAGATTGTTCTGTTTCACACAGTTTCACAGTATTCTAGAGATTGGAAGGAACCTCAAAAGGTCATCTAGTCCAATCCCCCTGCTGGAGCAGGAACACCTAGATAATGTTACACAGGAATGTGTCCAGGCGGGTTTTGAATGACTCCAGGGAAGGAGACTCCACAACCTCCCTGGGCAGCCTGTTCCAGTGTTCCGTCACCCTCACTGAGAAGAAGTTTCTTCTCAAGTTTAAGTGGAACCTCTTGTGTTGCAGTTTGTACCCATTACCCCTTGTCCTATCATTGTTTGCCACTGAGTAGAGCCTGGCTCCATCCTCGTGACACTCCCCCTTTATATATTTATAGACACTTATAAGGTCACCCCTCAGTCTCCTCTTCTCCAAACTATAGAGACCCAGCTCCCTCAGTCTTTCCTCATAAGGGAGATGCTCCACTCCCTTAATCATCTTTGTTGCCCTGCGCTGGACTCTCTCCAGCAGGTCCCTGTCCTTCTTGAACTGAGGGGCCCAGAACTGAACACAATATTCCAGATGGGGTCTCACCAGGGCAGAGTAGAGGGGAAGGAGGACCTCTCTCGACCTACTAACCACCCCCCTTCTAATACACCCCAAGATGCCATTGGCCTTCTTGGCCACAAGGGCACAGTGTTGGCTCATGGTCATCCTGTCGTCCACTAGGACTCCCAGGTTCCTCTCCCCTACACTGCTCTCTAACAGGTCGTTCCCCAACCTATACTGGAACCTGGGGAAATGAAAATAATCTCAGGGCACAAAATTCCTGTGTCCTGACATTCTCTAGAGGACATCTTTATATTTTAACATTTATAACTGAAGACTAACTAACAAGTAACAGTGACCATCTAACTGCTTTAATTTGCTCTGGTGAAAAAGATTTAAAGCTACTAAAAATACATGTTGCGGGATTTTCTTCCTTTACTATGCTTTAGGATTCCTGTACTTTGCAGTGCTGTGATTTTCTGGGAGGAATATAAAAATATCAACAGGGCCATACTTGGTGAGTCTATGAATGCATGTACTCAAATAACCTTCTGCATGAAAAAGGCATGATGTGAGCCCTTCTGCCTGATTTTACTTCCTCATCAGGATAGTGGGCTGGATGTCTGCACAGCATTACTCCGCAAAAGTCTTCCACATTCATAGCTGCCAGACACCAAAGCAATAGAAATGTCAGCTGATAACTAAACATCAAGTGTATCATTTTCAGTTTTGCTAAACCAAAAGATTGATAGAGATTTCAGGTGAGCAGAGACATCACAGTAAAGACACAGTCAGCAGCTCAACCACCCCAATAAGAAACTCAGAAGCAACATTTCAGGGGTTGTCTTATGTCTTTTTTTTTTTTCTTTCACTTGAAGGAATCTCTTTTTTGTCTGTTTTTCCTATTTATTTGGCACATAGAGCTCTCCTTCCCCATACTCACAGCTTTGCACATTTTTCCTTTACAACTCACTTTTCCCTTTCAACATTTATCAGGGCAACACTGGAACACAAATGGTTTGTTGAAGGAAAAAAAGCCCCACAGCTGCCTTCATCTGACTGATAGCCCAGCAGAAACCTATACTGTAAATTAGAGGGCTTCTTCTCAGGTGCCAATCAAGCACTTTTTCTGAACACTTAAATTAAAAACACCATATAGTCTTGAAGAAGTGAAAAAAAAAAATAACACAGATGTTATTTGCACATTATTTTGTGTCGCTGCATATGCTGTTACTTCCAGTCAGGTCTCCTGAGATACTTATCACTGCAGTAAGTGTTTCTGATTCATGAGCATTGATTGCCATAACAGCAAAAGTAGCATTCAGAGCTCATTCTACCATCACATGACCATTCACAAATGAATCTCATAACTCCCTTTTTGATGACACCTTTCTACAGGACAGGGAGTCTAGTACAGAATTTCCCCTCTCAATCAAAGTAACCTGCAGGCAGCATTCACAAATCAAGGTTTCTTCTTAATGTTACTAGCTAAAGTGCACCAAAAAAGTGTTCTCATTTCCACTCCAGTAGCAGTACCATCCTTAGTGACTCTCATCTATCACTTAATACAAAGGCTACAGTCAGGCTTTCCCACCACTTCTATAGGAAGACAAGTTTTTCATGGAAAAAATATGGAAGAAACGTTTTCAGATTGACATTGGAGTTGTTTTTGGTTTTGTTTTTTTTTGTTTGTTTGTTTGTTTATTTTCTCTTTTTCGTCTTACTTATTTTTTTCCTCTGGGCACTATTACCTGTTTCTGGGCTGTATCCTTTTGTTTCTGGGGACTGCAGATGTTGAGTACATCTGAGTATTCATCTGTTCCTTTGTCTCTTGGACCTGGAAAAATTGCAACATACCTACTTTTAGTCCTCTTTTTAACACAACTTTGTAAAGTAAACAGGTTACAAAAGCCAGAAAACTTGTGTAGTGACTTTGCAATGTAGCTTAAAATGTAATAAAAAAAGAACCAACTCCCATTTTAGAATCTCATTCTGTTTATCTGACTCAAGCCAACACTGACTCAAACCTACAGATATATATACACAAATATTTATATACAAGTCTACATATCTACCTGGACTTGTACAAAGCATTTGATATTATCCCACACAACCTCCTTGCCTCTAAACTGGAGAGACACAGATCTGACAGATGGACCAATAAATAATTGGCTGGATGGAAACAGTCGGTTGTGGTCGACAGTTCAATATCCAAGTGGAGACCAGTGGTAAGTGGTGCCTCTCAGGGGCTGGTACTGGAACTGGTACTGTTTGTCAGTGACATGGACAGTGGTGCACCCTCAGCAAGTTTGCCAAATAACACAAAGCTGGGTGGTGCAGTCAACACACTGGAGGGAAGGAATGCCATCCAGAGGCACCTGAACAGGCTCAAGAGGTGGGCCTGTGCAAACCTCATGAGGTTCAACAAATCCAAATGCAAGGTCCTGCACCTGCGTCAGGTCAGTCTCAAGCACAAATACAGGCTGGATGGAAAACGGATTGAGAGCAGCCCTGAGGAGAAAGACTTAGGTGTGTTGATTGATGAGAACCTCAACATGAGCCAGCAGCATGTGCTCACAGCTCAGAAATCCACTGTATCCTGGGCTGCATCAAAAGAAGCATGGCCAGCTGGTCAAGGGAGGTAATCCTGCCCCTCTATTCTGCTCTCATGAGACCCCAGTTGGAGTTCTGCATCCAGCTCTGGGGCCCCCAACACAAGAGGGACATGGACCTGTTTGAGTGGTTCCAGAGGAGGGTCGCAAAGATGATCAGAGGGCTGGAGCACCTTTCCTATGAAGACAGAGTAAAAAAGTTGGGCTTGTTCAGCCTAGAGACTAGAAAGCTCCAGGGTGACAGTAGAGCAGCCTCTCAGTACCTAAAGGGCCTACAAGAAATCTGGAGAAGCACTTTTTACAAGGGCATGGAGGGATAGGACAAGAGGTAATGGCTTTAAACTAAAAAAGGTAGATTTTGATTAGACATTAGGAAGAAATTCTTCACTGTGAGGGTGGTGAGACACTGGAACACGTTTTCTAGAGAAATTGTGGATGCCCCATCCCTGGAAGTGTTCAAGACCAGTTTGGATGGGACTTGGGGCAATCTGGTCTACCAGATGTCCCTGCCCATGGCAGGAGGGTTGGAAATAGATGACACTTAAGGTCACTTCCAACTCAAACTATTCTATGTTTCTATGATTCTATGATATAAATTGTGCCCAACAGTATGAATTACTCTTGCCACATTTTCTTTCCAGGTACGACATGTGAGGTACTATTGAATCAGGACCGAATGACTCATTTTCAAAATTCTGGCTTTTGGAGGTGTTTCCAGAATAAGCAGTTCAGATCAGTAAGGAGCATAAGAACTTAAATTCCAAATAATGTCTGTTCTTCGCTAGTGAGGTAACAGTAGCTATACAGGTTTTTCTTTGGTAAGGCTTTTTGATGGGCATTTGCAGTTGATTTTGGTACTGGTGACGGGATATTATAACTGTGTTATTAACTGTTGTTTGGTTGGTTGAATTTTAGTCTCTGTCTCAAGTGTTGTAACTGTGTGGAGTGTGTCTGTGGGATCTTGTTTGTGGTATGTGTGTGTGTGAATGTGAGATTGACAATGGAAAATCATCAGAGTGAAGAGATCTTGAAAAAGAGTCCTTTGGGTGCATTTTGGCGCACTGGAAAGAACTTGGAGGGTCTCCTGGGCGCTCAGTAAATAAGAATACATTGGTAAAACACTGTAACCAATGGTGGCCTTTGTGTACTTTGGAAGATCTGGAAAAACGGCCTGAAAATGGAACTCTGAACTATAATACATTGTTACAATTAATGTTGTTTTGAGGTGGCAAGGAAAATGGGATGAAGTAATGTATGCAGATATATTTTTCACTTTAAGAAATCACGCGGAGTGACAGACTGAATGCAAAATTAATATAGCTCTGCCAGATTCCTTAATTTTGGCCTTGGAAAAGGACGGCAAAAACTGCAAGTTAAGCTGAAGAGATGTTGTTCAGCCTGTGATATTGGGGAAAGATGTTTAAAGTTAAAAAACCAGTAATCTGGAAGATAAGTTGAAAATTATGTATCACCGGTACCTCCGAGAGAAGCAGCCTCTGTATCCATCCTATTTGATATTGATAAGGAGGAAGAGATTGCTGTCACTGGCAACAAGCAGCATATTCACATTCAGAGTTAAGAAAGGGTTAAACCAGAAGTGCTGTTGCAGAGGCAGGCATCTGCAGCCCCTGCAGAGCAGGGTGAGCAGCTGTGAAAAAAAAAAAAGGGAAAACCAAGGGGAAAAGGGGGGGAGCTCGGGCAGCTCCTGTGTTTGAGCAGGGGAGGAGGGATGATGGGCAGAGGTGGGAGAGTGGGCTCTTCTGTGGAAACGGATCGGTGTGCCTGCTATGGGGAGTTTGGACGTTGGAAGTGAGACTGCCCTGGGTGGGGGAGCAGTGCCATGGGGTGGCTCCGGGGACTGAATTGGAACTATACTGACAGGGACATGGGGAATCTACTCTAGCAGATCCACTGATTAAATTAAAACCACGGACGAGAGGAAATAAAGAGGAATTTTAGTGGATACAGGAGCAACTTATTTGGTGTTAAATCAGAGAGGAAAGAATTCGTTATAGATGTGGGTGCTACTGGCCACCAAGAAAAAGCAGGGAGAAAAAAAAAAAAAAAGGCATTCTATCTGAAACCTTTAAAGTACAAATTGGGAAAACAAATATGAATGCATAAATTTCTATGCATGCCATATTCTCTAAGATCTTTATTAGGGCCAGAAGCAACATTTAAAGAAGGCAAAATGGAATTAAACTTAAAAACAGTCAATTAATTGCAGTTTTGAGTTTATCTTTGATTCAACAGAAAAGCAAAAAGAAGGATCTCCCTGAAATAGAAGAAATCCTTAATTAGGTATATGTGGGAGTATGGGCATCTGAAGTTCCAGGTAAGGCAAAAAAATGCTTTGCCTGTTAAAGTGGAAATAAAAAAGGGGGGCCTGCCCAATTAGAATAAAACAATATCCCTTAAAATTAGAAGATCAAAGGGAATGAAAAAAAAATTGATAAATTTTAAAATATAGATTATTAATTGAATGTGAATTGGAATATAATACTTGTATCTGGACAGTAAAGAAATATGATGGAAAATGTTGCAGATTGGTTCACGATTTCTGGGTAATCAACAAAATTGCAGAGGGTATTTGTCCAGTAGTAGCTAATTCATATGATTTATTGACTAAATTGAATAATAATAAGAAATGATTTGCTGTCCTGGATTTAAAGGACACTTTCTTTTGCTTACCATTGGCCAAAGAAAGCCAAAATTATTTGCTTTTGAATGGGAAAATCCTAACACAGGAAGAAAAACTCAATTAACTTGGACAGTATTACCTCAAGGGTTTAAAACCAGCAATTTTTGGAAATCAGTTAGCACGAGAATTAGAATCATGAAAGCCACCTGCTCAGACAGGGACTCTGTTACAATATGTGGATGACCTGTTAATTGATACAGAAACAAAGGAAGAATGTGTCCAGTGGACAGTGGAATTATTAAATTTTCTGAGACTGAATGGTTATTGGGTATCCAAACAAAAGGCCCAACTAATCCAAACCCGAGTTTCCTACCTAGGATATGAAATAACAGGAGGACAGAGAGAACTTGGGACTGCCAGAAAAGAAGCCATTTGCCAGACTCCATGACCGTTTACCATCAAGGACCTCTGGACATTCCTGGGAATGACAGGATGGTGCAGACTTTGGATCCATGATTATGGTAATCTGGAACAATCGACAGAATCACTAACACATGACTGCTTGACCACCATAGAGACTGTATATTCGAGCTGACCAGACTTGAAAGAAAACCCTCTGGAAGATGCTGATCCTTGGTTTACTGATGGTAGTAGCTTCATGAAAAATGGTAAAGGAAAGGCAGGATAAGCTGTTACCACCACTTCACAGGTAATAGAAGCTAAACCTTTACCTGAGAACACCTCTGCCCAGAAGGCAGAAATAATAGCATTAATGAGAACCCTGGAACTGGCTAAAGATAAAAGGATAAATATTTGGACTGATTCTAAATATGCATTTGGTGTGGTACATGCACATGTTGCTATCTGGGAAGAATGAGGACTTTTGAACACACAA